AGGGCTTGAAGAACCACGGCAACACCTGTTTCATGAACGCCGTGGTGCAGTGTCTCAGCAACACGGACCTGCTGGCCGAGTTCCTAGCTCTGGGGCGCTACCGGGCGGCGCCGGGCCGCGCCGAGGTCACCGAGCAGCTGGCGGCGCTGGTGCGCGCGCTCTGGACGCGCGAATACACGCCCCAACTTTCCGCTGAGTTCAAGGTAGGCAGCGCCAGCAGCGCCGGCGTTCCGCAGCCTCCACCGATCCTTATGGTTTCGGTTCCTGAAAAGCGTGTGAACCACCAAGCCGAGCCGGGTTCCCTGGCAGGTGGGAGGTGGGGGCGCTCTCTGTATATACCACTTAGCTAGTCCAGCCACCGGTTATCGCCTTTGTTTTGAGGTGACGTGTTAACATTGTCACTTGCAAATGCTTTCTTTTAGAATTAGTTTCTCCCTGGTATTTTGAGCTGGGGTGGAGAGAGCTGGCAGCCTTAAGTTTATCCAGCAGTTTTGTGTTTAGCAAGCAGTTGTTGAAGGAGTGTGGATTTGCGGGACACGGTGAGTTAGAGCTTCAGATCTGGAGGGGTGCAGAGTGGGAAGTTTTGAAGGCCAAGGTTTGGGGAAGGAGGTGATACAGGCGAGGAGAACAATGTTGAGAAAGACATAGACCAAGATCTAGGGAAAATCCAGGCAGAGTGATCAGTAAGTAGAAAGGGCATAGGCCTGAAGGTGATGCGTGTTGAAGGCAGGCGAGGGTCCTCAGATCATGTATGACCTTGGACACCGTGGCTTTGGGTTATTTAAGCCCCTTAGCTGCCGAGAACCAGTGGGTCAGGTACTTTGACAAGTGGTGGGGGAGGGAGGCAGCGAGATTGCTAATTTAGAGATGATGTCCCTTAATTTAATTCATATTAAATTCTGACTGTCTGTGAGCATTTGTTATCCGCAAGGTTACAGCTGGGGATGCTGTGAGGGCATGAGAATGGGTTAAAGTACAAAAGTCGGATGAAAGCGTTCCTGATAATTGATGCGCAGGGCTTGCTTCCTGCCGTAAAACCGCAGCTCTGGACCGAGAGCTGAAGCATCCCGAGGACTAGTGATTGTTATTGAGGGGAGGGCAAGCATGACTGTCAGTGTTCATTCCATAAACATCTTGAGTTTCAGTCGGAGAAAGCAGCCTTTGTTGTGTCAAGGGCTAGGATGCTAGCCACTGCCTTCCTCTCCCACCTCCATTCCTGGAGAAGCACCATGTTGCAGTAGTCACACGACGTCTTTAGTGTCGCTTTTAGGCCACAGTTGCTTTTCAAATGTAGTAGTAGAGTAGTATAGTGGCCTTGTGGGCAGTGACTCAGTGCTTGACAGAGCGCTTGGTCACGCAGGCTTTGAGGATATGAGTTCTGGCTCCAGAACCCAGGTAAAAAGGAAAAAGGTCAAGTGACCCAGTGCAGACCTATCATTTCCCTGAGGGCCTGTTGCAGAGCAGGTGGATCCCTAGGGCTTTCTGGCTAGACAGTCTAACTAATTTGTGAGCTTCTAGATTCAGTGATAGATCCTGTCTGAAAAAAAGCCGCGAGGAACACACTTGTTTGGTGCTCATATACGCTTGAATGCACTGGTGGGCACACACACACAGAGAAAGAGCAAGGTCTCTGAGGCTTTATGATTTTTATGCAGATGAATCCTTCTTCATCTGTAAAATCGAACTGTATGACCATTACTTCATTATAAGGTAGTTGTGTTAAGTGAGCTATATATAGAGCACCGAGAACATGCCTGGTTCCTGGGGAATGTTTATTCTGGAATTACACTTCCTTCCTGCAGAGAACCCTGGAGCAGGAAGGGAGGCGATCTTTGAGTAAGCTTGCCTTCACCAGATGTGTTCCCACCCCATTGCTACAGCAGTGAGAGTGGCAAGCGGCTTGGAAGAATGCTCCCATTTGTAATCAGGGCCAGTGACTCACCAGGAATCCCTCTCTTCTGCTGTCTGTATCCCCAGGCCCTGGGAGCTCCCAGTGCCTTGGGAGAACTGAATGATAACCAAGTTGCTAATGAAGGGGATGTAATCTGGGGTTCCCTTGGGACTTTCAGGTGACCAGATTTGGAAGGTAGAGTAGATTTTAGAATCCTGACTCCTAAATATTAGGGATGGAAATCTTGGTGGGCTCATATGGGTGCTGAAACTTTCACCTAGTCAACACGTGCTTATTGAACGTGGAGACATTCTATCGGGAACAGGGACTGTGTAATGAGTGGCCAGTGCAAACCCAGATCCTGGGACCGAGGGCCAAGTCTGAGTCCAAATCTGAGCATACTCCCCAGAAGTTTACTCTCTAGAGGAGAAATGGGTGTCGACTCGGGACATGCAGGCCCTCAATTAGTACTGCTGATAAGATGAAAGGAGAAGCACAAGGTGCTCTGGATGTGTGGCAAGGGGGTATGATTTGTTTGGAGGAGCAGTTCAGCCTTCCCTGGTGAGGTCCCTTTGCCCTGAGTTGGGTTATGAAAGAGGAAGTGTCAGCTAAGGACATGGAAGATGGGAGATAGTGACTGCAGGCCTGGGAAGGAAGATGACAGCCCAGGAGAGGGGTGGAGCAGGAGTGGACCGAAGACCCAGAATCCTTTTGACAGGTTCATCTATGAAGGCTCGTGTAGCGGAGGAGGAGAGTGGAGAATTAAGAGATTTGATCTTGTTAAGGAGATGGACTTTAAAGATGATTAACTTACTTCAGACCCATGAGGGGCCCAGCACGTGGGGCTTGACCCTAGTTAGCTAGCTTCAGATCCAGGGAGAGTCCAGCTAGCTTCAGATCCAGGGAGAGTCCTGCATGTGGGGCTTGACCCCGCACCGACAAATAGGATGGGTTTACAGTATTCTCCCTTCTTGAGCCCAGAGTCACCAGTTTCCCACACATAGCAGGACCAAGTTTTGTTTCAACAGAAAATGGATTAAATACACTTTTAAAATCCTCTCGTTATCTATAATTATTTTCTAATGATATAGTTAAGTATGTGTATTGCAAAAGAATTAGAAAGTATAAGAAGAACCTGTAACTCTCCAGAATCATAATATAAACCATTGTAAACTTACTGGTATGTTGTAAACAATCAGAAATTCTAGTTCTGACTGGGCAGTGCTGCTTGCACACCTTTAATCCCAGCATTTAGCAGGCAAAAGCAGGTAGATCTCTGTGAGTTCAATGCCAGCCTGGTCTACAAAGTGAGTTCTAGGACAACAGGGAATGTTACACAGAGAAACCCTGTCTCAAAAACAAACAAACAAAAACAAAACTCAAAACAAAAAACAGCCCTCCCCCACCCCAATAAAGAAATTCTAGTTCTGCATTCTGCTTGTTTGTTTTTTGAGCTAGGGCTACGTTGACTAGCTAGCCTGGAACTTGCTCTGTAGACTAGGCTGGCCTTGAACTGATCTACCTGACTCTGCAACCAAGTGCTAGGTGCACACTCCTCTACACCCTGTTGTATTTTTTTCTTTCTTTTTAATAATGTAAGTATTATTACAAGACCTTTTGGCATTAGAATAATGTTCAGAACTTGACTTTTAATAATTGAATATATCATCAGATGGGCCAATCCTTTGTGGAGACACTGTTGCTCTATTGCGTTTTCCAGTGAGCACATTGTAGTGAAAATGCCTGTATTTTTCTAACTTACTTTATTTAAAAATTATATTTCTTTCCTTTTATGTAAATGGGTCCTTTGCCTGCATGTTTGTCTGTGTGACACATGGCACCCAAGAGGGCCTTGAATCCCTGAGAATGGAGTTACAGATGGTTGTGAGCTATTATCTGGGTGCTGGGAATCAAACCCGAGTTCTGGAAGTCAGTCAATGCTCTTAACAACTGAGCCATCTCCAGCCCCAATTTCCCTGTATATAAGTCATTGTTCTCAGCTCTGATTATTTCCAAATATATAATTCCATGAGTGGAATCGTGTTTTTGAAACAAAAGGAACAACTGTTTTAATGATTTTCTGGTTTTACTTTTAAAGTAAAACCTTTGGGAGGTGTAAGTTATAGAGTGAGATGCATCCATTTCAAGTGCTGAATTAGTTTTAGGAAGTGCAGGCACCTGGGTAGTCATCATCCCATCTTAAATGTGTACCCTCCATCCCTCCCTTCCATTTTTCTTTAACTTTTTTAAGACAGGACCTCACTATGTAGCTGTGGTTGGCTTCAAACTCACAGAAACAGTCTGCCTCTGCCTCCCGAGTGTTGGGATTAAAAGCGTGTGCCTCCAGACCTGGCACCTTTATTTTTTTCTTCCTAAATCAACTCCACTGGGTTTGATTATTGTTCTTTTTTTATTATTATTTACAATCCTCATCGGTTATTTCTTTCCAAACAATAATGTCAGGTTGCATATACACTTTTAAGAACTCTCCGGGAGCAGATTGGGTGTTCTTGTCTCATGAGCCCACTGGCCCTGGTTTTATAAGACTTAACAATTGGCAAGAGAAACTCTGTGTCAATAGTGCATAGCACTATGCTTTGAGGTGTGTACACAGGGTAAGATGGTAAACCCAGAATAATTACATAATCACCAACATCAGGTACTTAGCCCCTTTTCGAGGTGAGAA